ATGCTGGACTTTCCCTGTGAAGAATGTGGTCAGTAGATATAGGGGTGTATTTTGCTGGTCCGAATGTTCCGAGTAGTAGGGAAAGTATAACCTTCCGCATTCATGGTGAAGTGTAAGAATGAGTTGCGGGTGCTGTCCACACCCAATGATACCCCAGTTACCGTAGAAAGGCAGTTGTAGTGTCAGCTGAGGTCGTCTGGATGTCTGATCTCTAGAGCACACATACTGATAGATATTAAAAAGCTGTAAGCTTCAGGTTAAAATGAAGAAATATGCTGTCTCTGTTTGACCATTAATTTAGCACAATAGTCAGTGCAAAGATTTGGAGTTATCAACCTCTGTGGTGTGTACCCGTTCCGGCAAGTAACTTTTGTAGAGGGTTGTAACAATTAAAGTATCCCTGCCAAAGGGTCATTGTGAAAACCAAATCAACACTCTATAGTCTATATTGAAATGTACCACCTCCAGTAACGATGATTTAGTCATGTTAATGTCTTTTAATGTTTAAGATCCAGTTCAGACATGCAAAATCCTATTTTAATGAGTTGGTCTTTCAATGTTTCAGATCAATTTGGGAAGCACCAAATCTTGGAAAATGAGTTGGTCTCTTATGTTTCAGCTCCAGTTGTGAGCACTACTTCATATTAGTTGGTCTCTAATGTTTCAGGTCCGGTTGTGAGCACCACTTCATGTAAGTTGGTCTATAAAGTTTCAGGTCCAGTTGTGAGCACCACTTCATGTTAGTTGGTCTCTAATGTTTCAGGTCCGGTTGTGAGCACCACTTCATGTAATGAGATGGTCTCTAATGTTTCAGGTCCAGTTGTGAGCACCACTTCAGATAATGAGTTGGTCTCTAATGTTTCAGGTCCGGTTGTGAGCACCACTTCATGTAATGAGATGGTCTCTAATGTTTCAGGTCCAGTTGTGAGCACCACTTCAGATAATGAGTTGTTCTCATGTGTTTCAGATCCAGTTGTGAGCACCACTTCATATGAGTTGTTCTCAAAAGTTTCAGGTCCAGTTGTGAGCACTACTTCATATAATGAGTTGGTCTCTAATGTTTCAGGTCCAGTTGTGAGCACCACTTCATGTAATGAGTTGGTCTCTAATGTTTCAGATCCAGTTGTGAGCACCACTTTAGATAATGAGTTGGTCTCTAATGTTTCAGATCCAGTTGTGAGCACCACTTCAGATAATTAGTTGTTCTCATGTGTTTCAGATCCAGTTGTGAGCACCACTTCATATAATGAGTTGTTCTCAAATGTTTGAGGTCCAGTTGTGAGCATCACTTCTTACTGGTATGAGCTGGGTTTTTTTATAGTTTATGTCCAGTTTGAGACACATTTCTAAGGCGAAGCAGATTACTTTTCCAGACAGAATCATCTTTTCAATATTATGGTGTAAACTCGGTGCTACTGTAACTCCATATAGTTTCTATAGACTCGGTGACTTTGTGTGAATGAAAGCATGTCCTTTTAGAATTGAACGTTATACCTAGACGACCAAGGTGCCTGGACATGGGTTACACATTGCAACTGTCCGTGGTCATGTGGGCTCCATTCTGAGAAAGCCATGCTATGCTGGACTTTCCCTGTGAAGAATGTGGTCAGTAGATATAGGGGTGTATTTTGCTGGTCCGAATGTTCCGAGTAGTAGGGAAAGTATAACCTTCCGCATTCATGGTGAAGTGTAAGAATGAGTTGCGGGTGCTGTCCACACCCAATGATACCCCAGTTACCGTAGAAAGGCAGTTGTAGTGTCAGCTGAGGTCGTCTGGATGTCTGATCTCTAGAGCACACATACTGATAGATATTAAAAAGCTGTAAGCTTCAGGTTAAAATGAAGAAATATGCTGTCTCTGTTTGACCATTAATTTAGCACAATAGTCAGTGCAAAGATTTGGAGTTATCAACCTCTGTGGTGTGTACCCGTTCCGGCAAGTAACTTTTGTAGAGGGTTGTAACAATTAAAGTATCCCTGCCAAAGGATCATTGTGAAAACCAAATCAACTATCTAAAGTCTATATTGAAATGTACCACTCCCAGTAACGATGATTTAGTCATGTTAATGTCTTTTAATGTTTTAGATCCACTTCAGACATGCAAAATCCTATTTTAATGAGTTGGTCTTTCAATGTTTCAGATCAATTTGAGAAGCGCCACTTCTTGGAAAATGAGTTGGTCTCTTATGTTTCAGCTCCTGTTGTAACCACCGCTTCATATTAGTTGGACTGTTATGTTTCAGGTCCAGTTGTGAGCACCACTTCATGTAATGATTTGGTCTTTATTATTTCAGGTCCAGTTGTGACCACCACTTCATATTAGTTTGACTCTAATGTTTCAGGTCCAGTTGTGAGCACACTTTCATATAATTAATTTGGTCTTTATTATTTCAGGTCCAGTTGTGAGCACCACTTCATATTAGTTGGTCTCTAATGTTTCAGGTCCAGTTCTGAGCACCCCTTCATATAATGATTTGGTTTCTATTCTTTCAGCTCCAGTTGTGAGCACCCCTTCATATTAGTTGGTTTCTATTGTTTCAGGTCTGGTTGTGAGCACCACTTCATATTAGTTGGTCTCTAGTGTTTCAGGTCTGGTTGTGAGCACCACTTCATATTAGTTGGTCTCTAGTGTTTCAGGTCTGGTTGTGAGCACCACTTCATATTAGTTGGTCTCTAGTGTTTAAGGACCAGTTGTGAGCACCACTTCATATAATGAACTGGTCTTTATTATTTCAGGTCCAGTTCTGAGCACCACTTCATATAATGAGTTGATCTCTAAGTGCAATAATCTTGGACGTGACGTTAAACCCCATTCACCTCCCCTCACCATGTTTGTCGTAAGAGGCGACTAACAGGACCAGGCGGTCAGGCTCGCTGACTTGGTTGATGCATGTCACCCCAATTGCTATTCGTATCCCATTTTCTTACATCGATGCTCATGATGTCAATCACTGGATTGTATGGTCCAGATTTTTTACGGACCTCCGTCATTTAGCTGGAATATTGCTAAGTGCGGTGTTCTACAAAAAACGAACAAATCATTCATGTGGTGTTTTCAAGGCGTGCCGCTGCCACGCCTGTATCAACGCAAGTGGTGGTCACCGAGTTGTTATACAAAGCCCCTCTATCTCAGTCTCCTTTTGCCAGGTATGTTTTTTGCCGATGAATTTGTTATGATAAAGCATTGATCAGACGAAAGACCAAATATTATGTTTCTACCTTTAACAACATAATATTTACACCACTTTGTAAGCGCAGTTACTTTTTCCCGCCAGTATATATATATATTTTGAAGATAAGTACAGTGACGGTAACAATATGATACTTAGTCCACATCAGTTGATGGCATAAACATTGAATGTTACATATGGCTTAAAATGAGCTCTTTCAGCAATAATATCACGGCAAGGACATCGCACATTTAAAAATTATCATGACATTGAGTTCTTCTATATTCAGTTCAGGACAACACAAAGGAGAGCTTGGAAGGGGAAAACATATAATCAATGAGTCTACATTATCTCTGTCGGCATTATCGGGTATGCCTTAAAAGCCGCTTTTGACAATATTGATGTCGATTATGACGGAAATTACCGGTAAATGGTTCACTGAAAATGGAAGTGTTGCAAACACAAACTAATCAATACTAGTACATTTAAAGACCTAACATTTTAAAATGTTGCTGAAGAACCGTGCAAATTGATGGACGGTGTTCTCATCAACATCACTGCAGCTCACCTGTACATATAGTCAACAGTGTAAAGTGTTAATAAGGTGGGGTGAGGTGAAATGGGGTTTAACGTCGCGTCGAGGATTATTGCACTTATATAGCGACGTGCGTGTACGTGTGTGTGTGGCTGCATCTTCTAGTCCAGATTGATGCCCATTTATAGTGCTATTCCACTGAGATACCATGCCGCAGTTTAGCATGAATACCCCACTCAGACACAGTGTACTGACTCCGAGCCGACCAGTCCTTGTTTGACCCCTTAATGTCGAACGCCAGACAGGGTAACAACAAGTACCATCTTTTAACGTCTTTTGGTATACGCGGGTGGGGTAGCCTAGTGGTTAAAGCGTTCGCTCGTCACGTCGAAACCCGGGTTCGATTATCTGAATAGGTACAATGTGTGAAGCTCATTTCTGGTGTCCCCCGCCGTGATATTGCTGGAATATTGCTAAACGCGGCGTAAAACCACACCAAATCACTCCCCCACTGAAAAGACGCATTGAAGATCAGATTCGAGTTTCTTGAATGGGTTGGCTTGTTGGTTTGTTGTTTAACGCCACATTCAACAATATTCCAACTATAGGACGGCGGTCTGTAAATAATCGAGTGTGGACCAGACAATCCAGTGATTGATATCATGAGCATCGCTCCACACAATTGGGATCGATGACATGCACCAACCAAGTCAGCGAGCCTGACCACCCGATCCCGTTAGTCGCCTCTTACGACAAGCATAGTCGCCTTTCACTGCAAGCATGGGTTGCTGAAGACCTATTCTACCCCGGATCTTCACGGGTCTCTTGAATGAGTTATGGTGTCATCATTGGTGGAATTTCAGTTTTATTGATCCATGGTGACCGTTTGAGACGATTTTGACCATGCAAAAGAAATAAAAGTATTTAGAGAGAATTTGAGAGCATGACCTAATACTTATTTCATGTTAAGGTACAATCGCGTTAAACGGAAAATGTGTATAAGCCCACTTACATTTTTACAAGTAATGTCCATAAATTACGGTGACCCATAAGGGACATGGAGTCTGTTTTTCAATATTTTGATATTTCACTTACTTTTATCACGGCGGTGGAAATAGTTTTCTGTATTTTCATTTTAGTTTTTGACTTTTTCGCTTCACCTTTCAGCGATTCAATATCTTCTTTATTTATGATTTATCGCACATTTGTATGACAAATCGTGTTAATTTGCAAAATGTTACGATAAAAGTAAGTGAAATATCAAAATATTGAAAAACAGACTCCATGTCCCTTATGGGCCACCGTAATAAATAAATGTTTTTGGTTTTTTTCCATTTTGCGGCCATATTGAAATACACATTCGATCCTCTTGATCAAATGGGTTAGAATCCGGTTTATGTTACAACGCCACGACGCAAGGGTAGCACGTGAGCTAATAACTGAATTTGTCATCGGCAAACAAGCACTACTTACTCTAATATATTGATCCGGGCAATCATTGACGTACCTCGAGCATTCTCGCATTGTCTTTAATTTTACCCAGTCTTTGAGATACAAACATCCACACACATACTGCAGGTAGCTGGCATACACGGAGAAGGATGTATCTGGCGTTGTTGCTTGTCCTCTTTGTCATCGTTGCATTTGCAAAAGACAGTTTTTACATATACCAGTTTGCCAGACAAGTCGCTCTGGATGGTTACAAGGTTGAGGAGCTTGTCGCCAGTGTCGCTACATGTGCGCGTGTGGACGACTGTGTGCGCATCTGTGCACGGGATGAAGTATGTGTTGCTGTGACTTATCGCCAAAACAAGTGCTCCATCTACAGATCATCTGTGTCCTCATCCGGGATATTACTCTCAGAAGCCACAACATACGTCAAGCAAGGAGGTGAGATAGAACGAATTAGAACGCGCCTTGTCGTAAAAACCTTGGATTTACTGATATCATAGTATCAAATTCACATCGCAATTACCAGTTCTACCTGTTCTCCCTTGCTAAGGGGACGACCATTTGATATTCTGGAGTGAGTGAGTATGGTTTAACGCCGCTTTTAGCAATATTCAAGCAATAACACTGCGGGGGACACCAGAAATGGGTTTCAAACATTTTGCCCATGTCGGGAATCGAACTCGGGTCTTCGGCGTGACGAGCGAACGCTTTAACCACTAGGCTACCCGACCGCCCTGATATTCTGGAGGTGTGTGTGTGTGTGTGGGGGGGGGGGGGGGGGGGGGGGTATTTTATCGAGAAAAAAAATAATTGTTCCCGAAAATTCTGAAAAGATAATAGTTGTGCATAAGATCGGATTGTTAAAAAGCAACAACAAAATCCAATTTTTTTTTTTCAACTTAATTCAGGCTCACAGTTTTAAAACAAAATTACCTGTAGCTGAAAGCATTGTTGATACAAAGTCCCTTAATTGTTTACTTGACATATTTATGCATTTTTTCTTAGTGGCTGATGCTTCTTGTAAGGCAGGACATGCTTACCCTTTTCGCGAACACCTTTGATCCATTGATATAATTTTCACCACTTTTTTACATCCAGTGAAATTTGTTTCGGCGGATAAGCTAGACTGGTTATTCTGTAGGTATATTTGTCTTGAGAACCATGTGTTGTGAACCAAATGTTATGCACAACCTTTCAGAGAAGTGATGGTTATATGTCAGAGTTATATGTGTTGACCACACCAATCATAGTCTGTTTCTAACAAAACCTTAACCAAAGGGCAACCCGGTCATCTCTAACGCTACACTCAGTAAGGTAGTCTCTGATTCTGAACATGACAAACCAGTGATTGATATCATGAACAACGCTCCACGCCGTCAGTGTAACATGACACATAATCACACAAATTCACGTGGTTTCTGTCAAAAATAGTTTCATGCGGAATCCAACCGCAATATAAATACAAAAACCATTACAATGATCACACCCGACTTGTTGTTCTTGTTCACTTTTCGAAATTCATCACTTTTTGAAGTCTGGACTTAGTTGTGTCTCTCACAATCTCATTAAATCAGATCTTAGTTCTTGCTACCACTAAACAAAGATTTGAGGACATCCCATTAAGGGTCACGTCAGAACGACCTTTCATCCGACCAATCGAAACGTCGCTTACCAGGTCATGAAAGTGACAGTCGTAATGTTTTTTCTTATCATGCAACCTCGAAAACGTTAACACGGGGTATTCCGAACGACAGTTACGGCCCGTACGACTGATTCCGTCAAAATTATCGTCTATCTCACGCTTCCTTGGGATAAACATTTGAACGAAGAGGCGTTGCACAGTATGTGGGAAGCACTGCTATACAATCTCAACCATATATTAGACATTCCGGAATGTTCGTTTGTTCAGTTTTCAAAATTTTAATCGAGATTTGTGTCTACATATTTTTCAATCATAGTCTGAAATGGAAGTCGCCAGGTTGAAACGAGTGCCGTAAAGCTATAGAAAGCTGCTTTCAAACTGGCTAATGTCGACTTCTTGTTAGTCGTTTCAGTGGTCTGTCAAAGTTCGCGAAAGGTGGTTCTGACGTGACCCGTAATGGGATGTCCTTAGATCTTTGTTTAGCGGCAGCGAGAACTTAGATCTAATTTAAATGAGATTGTGTGTCTCATACATTCCTTTATTCGTTCATACATCCCGTGAAGATCCGGGGTAGAATAGGTCTCATGCTTGCCGTAAAAGGCGACTATGCTTGTCGTAAGAGGCGACTAACGGGATCAGGTGGTCAGGCTCGCTGACTTGGTTGATACATGTAAACGTATCCCAATTGCGTGGATCGATGCTTATGATATCAATGACTGGATTGTCGGATCCAGACTCGATTATCTACAGACCGCCGTCCTATAGCTGGAATGTTGCTGAGAGCGGCGTTAAACAACAAACAAAACAAAACAAAACAAACAATTTGTGTGTCTGTTTTCAGCCCTGCCCAGCCCAGACCCATGCCCCGTGTCTGGGGGCTACACGTCAGTCCTGTCCCCACGTCTGTGCTACAGGCTCCACAAGGGTGGGAAGAAATGGCCACAGACGCAGTCTCTATGTGCGGCTGAAGGCGGCCGACTTATCATCCTGAATGAAGATGAGAAATATGACTACCTGGCCGCTTACACAAAGAGAATCGACTTTCGTACGTAAAGCCTACACGATTTTCAAATACGAGGCTCATATTTCTTGCCTTGTTTATCTGTTCTTAGCCACAAAATACTTATCTGTCAGATTTGCTGAAAAAGATGGGAATTTAGAGGACGTTTATTTTATAAATGAACTCTATCCGATTTGGAAGCAGGGAAGGCCAAGTGTTCTAACTCACTGCAATTCATTGTTTAGAGCATCTTCCCGAGGCAAGGGAGTTAACTGACTGGAAAAGTCCAGTTTCCACCCTTGCCGAAAGGGTGGAATTTCTTGACTCGATCGGAGCGCCACCAGTGACTATTACGAGTAAAGCCCCTTCTATGTCCCCCCTATTGAATAATCACTTTTCACCTCTCATATCACTTGCGTTTGAGTCGCTATATGGCTGAAATGATGCCGATGCGACGTTAAATGTTAACTAACTAACTTGCTTCAAACAAAATGGTGGCGCCCAGTCAAGGCGATTTGGTCGATAATAAAAATCTATAGTATGATAAAACGGGTCTTACTTAGCCAAGTGCATCAAATCAGATGAGCACATGATTAAAACATGAAAAGATTTGGAAAATATCTGTTGAATTACCCAATACTTTTCTCGCCTCTAAAATTAAACAAATAATTTTCCTGATGCTATAGAGCTAGATGGAGCTGGCTAGACTTGCTTTTGTAAACATGTCTAGAATGGTAAATCTCGCGAATACAGTCAATGCCGTTAAATGGGGATATAGTTGATAAACATTTAGTCTATGAAATCATAAATTACACAATACTCTTCTCGCCTCAAAAATCAAACAATTAATTTTCCTGATGCTATATAGAACTAGATAGAGCTGGCTAGACGTGCTTTTGTATACATATCTAGAATGGTAAATCTCGCGAATACAGTCAATGCCGTTAAATGGGGATATAGTTGATTAACATTTAGTCTATGAAATCATAAATTACACAATACTCTTCTCGCCTCAAAAATCAAACAATTAAATTTCCTGATGCTATATAGAACTAGATAGAGCTGGCTAGACGTGCTTTTGTATACATATCTAGAATGGTAAATCTCGCGAATACAGTCAATGCCGTTAAATGGGGAAATAATAGATTAACATTTAGTCTATGAAATCTTATCTTACACAATACTATCAACAAATAATTTTCCTGATGCTGTAGAGCTGGCTACAGCTGGCTGGACTTGCTTTTGTATACATATCTAGAATGGTTGCTAAAGACCTATTCTTTGTATCTTCACGGGTCTAACCTTGCTGCGGGAACATTACCTTTGCTGCTCTTTTTTAACGATGTTGATATTGACAAGCAACACAGGGCGACTGGACTAGTGAAGATTCCGGGGTAGAATAGGTCTTCAGCAACCCATGCTTGCCGTAAAAGGCGACTATGCTTGTCGTAAAAGGCGACGATGCTTGTCGTACGAGGCGAATAACGGGATCGGGTTGTCAGGCTCGCTGACTTGATTGAAGCATGTCATCGATCAATGCTCATGATATCAATCTCTGGATTGTCTGGTCCAGACTCGATTATTTACAGACCGCCGTCATATAGCGGAATATTGCTGAGTGCGGCGTAAAACAACAAACAAACAAACAAAGCTACTGTAATAGATCTCTGATCCAAATCTGCACTTATGTTTCAGCGTGTACTTATATTTAAGATCGTCCAACAATATATTTACTAATAGAATGGAAACTGGACCGGTAAAGATGTTCTCATCAGCCATTGCTCTCGGCGATGGCGGCCACAACTCCGCACCAACTCGATGACTCCAACCCGATAAGTGCTTCGACAAGTGTATGATGGACGATATAAGTACACCTATTGTACACAAGAACAAAAGTTTTTTGTAAAGCGAATCGTGTTGTAGTGTGGGATTACGATCCATGGAAATTATTGTTAGTGCAGTTAGGGAAAACTTCATGGAACGGCATAGTTGTGGGATAACGATCCATGGAAATTATTGTTAGTGCAGTTAGGGAAAACTTCATGGAACGGCGTAGTTGTGGGATTACGATCCATGGAAATTATTGTTAGAACAGTTAGGGAAAACTTCATGGAACGGCGTAGTTGTGGGATTACGATCCATGGACATTACTGTTAGTGCAGTTAGGGAAAACTTCATGGAACGTCGTAGTTGTGGGATTACGATCCATGGAAATTATTGTTAGTGCAGTTAGGGAAAACTTCATGGAACGGCGTAGTTGTGGGATTACGATCCATGGAAATTACTGTTAGTGCAGTTAGGGAAAACTTCATGGAACGGCATAGTTGTGGGATTACGATCCATGGAAATTACTGTTAGTGCAGTTGGGGAAAACTTCATGGAACGGCATAGTTGTGGGATTACGATCCATGGAAATTATTGATAGTGCAGTTAGGGAAAACTTCATGGAACGGCGTAGTTGTGGGATTACGATCCATGGAAATTATTGTTAGTGCAGTTAGGGAAAACTTCATTGAACGGCGTAGTTGTGGGATTACGATCCATGGAAATTACTGTTAGTGCAGTTGGGGAAAACTTCATGGAACGGCGTAGTTGTGGGATTACGATCCATGGAAATTATTGTTAGAGCAGTTGGGGAAAACTTCATGGAACGGCGTAGTTGTGGGATTACGATCCATGGAAATTACTGTTAGTGCAGTTGGGGAAAACTTCATGGAACGGCGTAGTTGTGGGATTACGATCCATGGAAATTATTGTTAGTGCAGTTAGGGAAAACTTCATGGAACGGCGTAGTTGTGGGATTACGATCCATGGAAATTATTGTTAGTGCAGTTAGGGAAAACTTCATGGAACGGCGTAGTTGTGGGATTACGATCCATGGAAATTACTATTAGTGCAGTTAGGGAAAACTTCATGGAACGGCGTAGTTGTGGGATTACGATCCATGGAAATTATTGTTAGAGCAGTTAGGGAAAACTTCATGGAATGGCGTAGTTGTGGGATTACGATCCATGGAAATTATTGTTAGAGCAGTTAGGGAAAACTTCATGGAACGGCGTAGTTGTGGGATTACGATCCATGGAAATTATTGTTAGTGCAGTTAGGGAAAACTTCATGGAACGGCGTAGTTGTGGGATTACGATTCATGGAAATTATTGTTAGAGCAGTTAGGGAAAACTTCATGGAACGGCGTAGTTGTGGGATTACGATTCATGGAAATTATTGTTAGAGCAGTTAGGGAAAACTTCATTGAACGGCGTAGTTGTGGGATTACGATCCATGGAAATTATTGTTAGTACAGTTAGGGAAAACTTCATGGAACGGCAGAGTTGTGGGATTACGATCCATGGAAATTATTGTTAGTACAGTTAGGGAAAACTTCATGGAACGGCGTAGTTGTGGGATTACGATCCATGGAAATTATTGTTAGAACAGTTAGGGAAAACTTCATGGAACGGCGTAGTTGTGGGATTACGATCCATGGAAATTATTGTTAGTGCAGTTAGGGAAAACTTCATGGAACGGCGTAGTTGTGGGATTACGATCCATAGAAATTATTGTTAGAACAGTTAGGGAAAACTTCATGGAACGGCAGAGTTGTGGGATTACGATCCATGGAAATTATTGTTAGTGCAGTTGGGGAAAACTTCATGGAACGGCGTAGTTGTGGGATTACGATCCATGGAAATTATTTTTAGAACAGTTAGGGAAAACTTCATGGAACGGCGTAGTTGTGGGATTACGATCCATGGAAATTATTGTTAGAACAGTTAGGGAAAACTTCATGGAACGGCAGAGTTGTGGGATTACGATCCATGGAAATTATTGTTAGTGCAGTTAGGGAAAACTTCATGGAACGGCAGAGTTGTGGGATTACGATCCATGGAAATTATTGTTAGTGCAGTTAGGGAAAACTTCATGGAACAGACCGAAGCTCTGTGCAGCGACAAGGCAAAATTAAATCGTTTATAGGGAACAGCACAGAGATGCGGTTACCGCAGGCTCCTGTGACCATGCGGTGTTGTGAAATTGGGTTATACGAGTATTGCACTTGTATAGCGACGTGCATGCACGTGTGTGTGTGTGTGTGTGTGTAGCTGCTTGTACTAGTCCGGACTGATGCCGATTTATAGTGCTAGCCCACTGAGATACCATGCCGCAGTTTAACATGAATACCCCACTCAGACACAGTATACTGACTCCGAGCCGAGCAGTCCTTGTTTTAGCCCCTTAATGCCGGGCGCCAGACAGGGCAACAACAAGTGCCATCTTTTAACGTCTTTTGGTATGACGCGGCCGCGCTAGACCACGGAGGCGGTATCTATGACCATGCTACACGAACTGGGTGCATGTCAGCCGTGAAGATGCTAAAGGGAATTATGAGAATGTTTCCCTAGTTCTGCACCATGGCTGTGGAATATATATATTTTATGGGAAAAAAACCATGTATGTATACAAAAGCAAGTCCTGCCAGCTGTAGTCAGCTCTATAGCATCAGGGAAATTATTTGTTGATAGTTTTGTGTAAGATAAGATTTCATATCATAGACTAAATGTTAATCAACTATATCCCCATTTAACGGCATTCACAGTATTCGTGAGATTTACCGTTCTAGTTATGTATACAAAAGCAAGTCTAGCCAGCTCCATCTAGCCCTATAACATCAGGAAAATTATTTGTTTAATTTTAGAGGCGAGAAATATATTGTGTAATTCAAGATTTCATAGACTAAATGTTAATCAGCTGTATCCCCATTTAACGGCATTGACAGTATTCGTGAGATTTTAGAATGAGGTCCTCTTTAAACGTTATCCTGTCACTCAAGCTTTGAAATCAGGTAGTTCAAGTTCCATATATAGAATAATAATATCGACAATAAGCTTGACGCATATTTATTAAATATTTTCTTCTCTTTCACACTTAAGTTACTCTTCTGGACATCCCGCACCGCCTTCTATCTGAAACAGGAGTGAGTGAGTGAGTGAGTATGGTGTTACGCCGCTTTTAGCAATATTCCAGCAATATCTCGGCGGGGGACACCAGAAATGGGCTTCACACATTGTACCCATGTCGGGAATCGAACCCGGGTCTTCGGCGTGACGAGCGAACGCTTTAACCACTAGGCTACCCGACCGCCCCATCTGAAACAGGAAGATAATAAGTGATCGTATTTGTACAGTATGTAATATGAAGATGTTGGTTATGAATACTAATAGATTTTGTTTGGTCAAGCTCGCTGACTTGGTTGATGCATGTCATCAATCTTAATTGCGTGGATCGATGCTCATGATATCAATCACTGGATTGTCTGGTCCAGATTCGATTATTTACAGACTGCCGTCATATAGCTGGAATATTGCTGAGTGCGGCAAACAAACAAACAAACAAACAAAAATATTGCAATCAACATGTATTTCACAGGACCGTGGATCGGCCTGCTTGTGGAGAACAAAACCTACCATGCCTGGACTGACGGTTCAACCCACATCCGTGACGGGGCTAAGAGCCCTAACAAGTTCTTCATAGGCTACAGCGCCTGTGGCTTTCTGTACAGAGGGGAAATAAGAAGCCGATTCTGCAGAAATCCGTACGGGTACCTGTGTGAAATAGTCATCACCTGATGCAAGGATACGGACGTTGAAGTGGCTGTGTAGTGTTTATCTTCCCGAGGCAAGCGTGTCCACTAGCCCACATCAAAGCCTAGTTATCACACACGCGTTTGCTTCAGTCAGGCTCTCTTCCCCGAGGTGTCAGTAGCGATTTGATAAGGTATTTGTGTAAAACATCTTCAGCACTAATGAACATCTAACTAATGATCTAAAAGCATACATAGTATTGTTGTTAACAACCTCTTCAAATATTGGTTTGTTGGTAAGACAAGAGCATCGATCCAGGCAATTGGGATACGATGGCATGACAGCGAGCCCGACCACCCGATCCCTTAGTCGCCTCTAGGGCGCCGCGATTCGCTGTGCAGAGTTGCGTCCCTTGGGCACACCAGAAACCTATGATTGTGAGTTCAAATCCCGGTTCGCCCCGATTATGTTTCTAGGTTTGTCAGCATCATACCCGTGCTCGTTGGTTTCACCGAAGTGGTCAACGTCTGAGACCTGCATCACTTCGGGCTTTCCTCCCACATTAAGCTGATACGCGGTGATATAACTGGAATACTGTTAAAAGTGGCGTTAAACCCAACTCACTCACTCACTCACTAGTCGCCTCTCATTGTAAAGAGAACGCCCTGGTGTGGCCCAAACAAGCAATACTGTAACTATGCAACACAGACAAAACACGACTTGACAAATATTTCTGTACTTCAATGGGGCTCTCTTCCCCTAGATTTCATTAGCGAATTGATAATGTGTTTGTCTTAAAACATCTTCAGCACACATGAACATCTAATGATCTAAAAGCATAAATAATATTGATGTTAATTACTACTTCAAATATTGGTTGAGAAAAGGCGTTTCATTTGTTAGTAAAACACATGTTGTCTCAGTCAAGCCAGTCAGGGGGTAAACAGCCCATACTATCGAGCCAGGTTCGCTTTTTTGTTGTGACATGCATTATTTTTTTTCTTATTATTCAATGTAGCCTTGTCTGGCACGGATGTGGAATTAGGTATTCTTTTGAAATGCACACGCACGCAAGGCATATCTGGCGCGCACACACTTTTCTCTCACATGAAGCCAACACACTGTGACGCATCTTCTCGGGACAGGGGCGGTCGGGTAGCCTAGTGGTTTAAACGTTCGCTCGTCACGCCGAAGACCCGGGTTCGATTCCCGACATGGGTACAATGTGTGAAGCCCATTTCTGGTGTCCCCCGCCGTGTTATTGCTGGAATATTGCTAAAAGCGGCGTAAAACCATACTCACTCACTCACTCTTCTCGGGACAAGCGTGTCCGCTAGATTATATCAAAGCCTAGTTTCTACCCTTGCCACACCAAGGCCACATTTCTTGGTTCGACCCTGCGCCACCTCGCGTAGATCACGAGTTGTGCCCCTTGTCATGAAAACGCGATATCCAATCAGATCGCTGTTCTTATCTCGTATAGCTTCACAAAGATGGCGACTAATATAGGCGACGACCTAGTCGATCAGATAACGAAAACATTCGCGATTTCATCTCTGACACAAAAACATAGGTAATCGTAAAGGCTAGTGGACGCTCTTGTCTCTGGAAGATGTGCTGTGTTGTGTTATGTTGTGCTGTATCGTTGTGCTGCTGTGCTGTACAAGAACACATATTCCACTTCTCTCAACATATAGGGGCACGGATGGCCCGGTCGCCTGAAGCGCCGCAATTCGTTGTGCAGAGTTGTATGTTCGAATCCCGGTTCGCCCCGCTTATGTTTCTAGGTTTGTCAGCACCATACCCGTGCTCGTGGGTTTCACCGAAGTGGTAAACGTCTGAGACCTGCATCTCTTCGGGCTTTCCTCCCACATTTAGCTGACACGCGGTGATATAACTGGAATACTGTTAAAAGCGGCGTAACACACAATTCACTCACTCACTCCAAATGTGATGATTTTTTAAATATATATGTTACCAATTTCCATCTAAAATTCAAATGTTTAAATGCAAACTGCGAGTGAATCGGGGTTTCTGAATGATTAAAATGCCAATGGAACTAGTTCTTTGTCCCCCTCCAAGAAACTGTAAATGAAACGGCGACACCGTTTGGTGGTAATGTATTAGAACAATACAAACTCTTTCTATTTTACAGACGACATTTCTATTTGTTTCAAATCCATGTCATTATTAAATTCGGCTCTAGATCTTTCAGCGTAGTTGTTGCTTCTTTGTGGAATTCACTCCCTCTCACACTGAAATCAGCGCCAATCCTGCTATCTCTACCAGCGCTTTTCAGTTAGAATCAGATAAGAACTTTAATAGCGAAACGCTATCGCCTGTCCTGCGATTTTTTTGTGCGCTTTGGCCATGCCTCTGTGTGTGTGGAAACTGCGCAACATGAATGACCTTATTATTATTATGAAATCCAAGTAGTATTATGACCCTGCACGTCTTTCACCTCGTCACTGTGCACAATATTACCTTCCCATGGTGCGTCCAATGCTGCACACATACACTGCATCACATAATGCACATCTAAATTGCCCTAAATTCTGCGACCGCCTCCGTGGTCTAGTGGTAGAGCATCAACTCGGAGAGCGGAAGGTCCGGGGTTCGATCCCGGCCGCGTTTACCAAAAGACGTTACAAGATGGTACTTGTTGTTATCCTGTCTGGCGTTCGACAAGGGCTGGTCGGCTCGGAGTGGGGTATCTCAGTGAGCTAGCACTATAAATCGGCATCAGTCCGGTCTAGTACAAGCTGACACACACACACACACACACACACACACACACGTCGCTATATAAGTGCAATAATCTTGGACGCGCCGTTAAATCCAATTTCACCTTTCTGCACAACCTTCACACACAAGTACTGCGCTCCCCTCCTGCAAAAATGATGCCCGCTCGTACCCCTGGATGCCACTCCATAATGCTTTGTCATGCTCACGCTCATATCTCTGAATCAGTATCGTTTATCCTTTATGCTCGGACTATTTACATCTTCGTTGACCCGTGAAGATTCCGGGGTAGAATAGGTCTTCAGCAACCCATGCTTGCCGTAAAAGGTGACTATGCTTGTCGTAAGAGGCCACTAACGGGGTCGGTAGTCAGGCTCGCTGACTTGGTTGATGCATGTAATCGATCCCAATTGCGTGGATCGATGCTCATGATATCAATCACTGGATTGTCTGTTACAGACTCGATTATTTACAGACCGCCGTCATATAGCTGGAATATTGCTGAGTGCGGCGTTAAACAACAAACCAACCAACCAACCAACTATGCTTGTAATAAGAGAAGACTATGCTTGTCGTTAGAGAAGACTATGCTTGTCGTAAGAGAAGACTATGCTTGTCGTTAGAGAAGACTACGCTTGTCGTAACAGAAGACTATGCTTGTCGTTAGAGAAGACTGTGCTTGTCGTTAGAGAAGACTATGCTTGTCGTAACAGAAGACTATGCTTGTCGTTAGAGAAGACTATGCTTGTCGTTAGAGAAGACTATGCTTGTCGTAACAGAAGACTATGCTTGTCGTTACAGAAGACTGTGCTTGTCGTTAGAGAAGACTATGCTTGTCGTAAGAGAAGACTGTGCTTGTCGTAACAGAAGACTATGCTTGTCGTTAGAGAAGACTGTGCTTGTCGTTTGAGAAGACTATGCTTGTCGTAACAGAAGACTATGCTTGTCGTTAGAGAAGACTGTGCTTGTCGTTAGAGAAGACTATGCTTGTCGTAACAGAAGACTATGCTTGTCATAACAGAAGACTATGCTTGTCGTCAGAGAAGACTATGCTTGTCGTTAGAGAAGACTATGCTTGTCGTAACAGAAGACTATGCTTGTCGTTAGAGAAGACTGTGCTTGTCGTTAGAGAAGACTATGCTTGTCGTAAGAGAAGACTGTGCTTGTCGTAACAGAAGACTATGCTTGTCGTTAGAGAAGACTGTGCTTGTCGTTAGAGAAGACTGTGCTTGTTGTTAGAGAAGACTGTGCTTGTCGTTAGAGAAGACTGTGCTTGTCGTTAGAGAAGACTATGCTTGTTGTTAGAGAAGACTATGCTTGTTGTTAGAGAAGACTATGCTTGTCGTAAGAGAAGACTGTGCTTGTCGTAACAGAAGACTATGCTTGTCGTTAGAGAAGACTGTGCTTGTCGTTAGAGAAGACTGTGCTTGTTGTTAGAGAAGACTGTGCTTGTCGTTAGAGAAGACTATGCTTGTTGTTAGAGAAGACTATGCTTGTTGTTAGAGAAGACTATGCTTGTCGTTAGAGAAGACTGTGATTGTGGAAAAGGCGACAAAGGGATCGGGTGGTCAGGCTCTTTGCCTTGGTTGATGCACGTCATCATATCTAAATTACATGGATCGATGTTCATGATGTCGATCACTGTATTGTCTGGTCCAGACTCGATTATTTACTCAATATTGTTGAGTGCGGCGTTAAACAACAAACAAACAAACAAACAAACAAAGATACATCTACGTGTGAATACCCGAAATTCTACATCAATGCTCTCGCTATGTTATATTTAGTCAGCATATCCAATAACATCTTTGCTCACTCTCGTAGTCGCTGAATTGCTGGAATAATGCCGGTGCGACGTTAAATTTTAACCCAAATATGGGAATTTATTGAAATGTAAACCAACATCTGCATCTATTTCATTTAGCATCGACAAGCATATGAATTCATTAATATTGTTTCTCTTTATTTATTTAACGTTTAGGATCAATGGTAATTTATCGTTGCAATTTGAATGTATTTGAGTCTCGGAGAAATGTTTGTAAATAGAAGAAACAATTTCCAGTATTGGGTCAAAATTTATTCCACATACAGTAAACTACGGTTATAACGAACTCAAAGGGACCACTAACTTTTGTTCGTTATAACCGTAGTTCGTTATAAGCATATATACAGTATAACAATAGCAAATAGTCGGGACCAAAAAATCAGTTCGTTATATCCGTCAGTTCGTTATAAGCGTGTTCGTTATAAACGTACTTTATGGTATTATATTGTACTTTAATTTTGAAAAAGTTTGAATTATATGGATTCATTGTAAGACCTTGTTTTGTTTGGATTATGAGAAAATGTTGCTCTATGCGTGTGTTTAGTTTATCCAGCCATTCGGTAGTATGTCCGTGAGTGATGCGTTGATTCCAGAGATGTTTGAACTACATAATGATCTTTGGATTGCCCAGCCATGTTTCAAAATAATGCAGCATAACAACCGATGTTGAAGCTAAACAATCTCTTGAGAAACCATCATCTCCTATGCTTATCCCACGCAGTGACCTGTTTTCCAATAACAAAAAGCCATTTCTCCACCTTAAGCAACAAAGTTGGGGCACAAAACAAAGGAATCAATAAACATTAGCGAGAGAGTGATAGAGTAAGAGAGAAAGAGAGAGAGAGTG